CAATTACATGCACAGTTACATGCATGTTGAATGAGTGTACAGACCTACAGCAGCAGATCAAGATCACAAGTCAGTAATTAGAAGAGCACATGCACATTTGCTCTTGTTTTAAATTTCTAAAACTACTTCTTTTTTAATCAACAACTTTTTATTGTAAAATTCTCAAACCTACAGAAAAGTTACAAGAAGAGTACAATGATCACTCATATATTCCTTAGCCAGTTTCACCACTGATAACATTTTGTCACATTTGCTTCATTTCATCTCTTCCTTCCCTCTTCTTCTATCCACCTCCTTTCTTTCCTATATATATTTTAAATGTTTTGGCTGAACCATCTGTAAATTATTTGTAGACATTTTAATACTCATCCCTAAGTACTTCAGTATGTATTTCCTAGGGATAAAGGTATTCTACATAACCACAATGTAATTATCACACTTAGGAATTTTAACATAAAATATAATACTATTATCTAATAAAGTCCAAGTCCAAATTGCCCAGTTGTCCCAATACAGCTATTCTCCACTGCAATTCATCATCAATCAGGGATTATCCACTGCATTTAGTTGCATATCACTTAGCCGGCCTTAATCTAGAATATTTTCTCCAGTCCTTTTTTATCTTTTGTAATACAGACACTTTTGATGAATCTAAAACAAACATTTTAGAAAATACTAAAATCTAGCCTTAAAAGAAATGCTTTGGGTTTTTTATACCTCACTAAATATACAGGCTTTGCCCTTGGATTTCATTCTAGTATTCTGAACCTATTCATAACCAAAATTACTTAAAACACAAATACAGAATTGTAGAGCTGGAATTGGGCTCAGAGATTAACATCTCAAATACCTCCTCATTATAGATGAGGAAACTGAAGCCCAGAAGAATTTGGAAGCTTCTTTAGAGCAAGGCTTAAAACGAGATCTGACCTTCTTCTCCTTAGGGTCATTTCCACCACATTATACTGTTTTTTAGGCCATCTTCTGTTTCAAGATAAGAAGCTTTCAGATCATTTTTATACTCTGAATATATTTTTTTAAATGTTACTGTTAGATATTTCCCAATTTAAATGTTAAAATATCTTCTAAGGCAATCTTCGTAAATCAACATTCTTCCTTTCTTATTACTTGAATAACTGTTTCAAATGCCACATGTGCAAACCAGATAAAACAATTTTGGGCGAGACAGGTTTACTTCATCAGTCCTATCCCATCAAGAATAAGGGGATACACCCATCAAGATCCACACAGGTAGTGTGTGAAATGGAAGGCTCATGCTTGGGAGTCAGTTTGAATTTCAGTCCTTTGAGTTATTAATTGTGAAATCTTGGGCAAATCATTACATCTCTCTTAGATTTTTTTCTTCACATTTATGAGGATAGATAATTAAGTAGGCAAACTCATCCCAGAAAAAGTACCACATACCTATTGTTTAATATCACTCCGGTCATTCCTGAGGTACTCCCTTGGGAAGCTATACACTGATGCAAGTGCGCAGTACACCTCTCAAAACAATTTTGGAAATCTTTTCCTGGAATGGCCATCAGAGGTGTCATACAGGTCTGACACTTACATTCGCAAATCCATCCTAGAAAAAGTGCTTTGAAGGGTGAACCAGGTGCTGGCATGGACGCATAACTTCCCAAGGGGAATACTTCAAAGGAGACCTAAGTGATTGATATTCAGCAATGAGATATAACAGCATTTTTTCTAGGATGAGTTAGCAAACTTAATTGTCTGACTTTGTAATACAGGCATACTAATCATTGGAATCTTACAGGTTTTATGAAGAACTAGTGAAATTACTAAAGGAACAATGAAGCCAAAGCACTCAACATACTGCCTGTCGTACAGGAATAGGAGTTCCTTTCCTGGTCCTACTGAGACTTCTACTTTACGTGGCCTCAGGGAAATGGCTGGTGGTGAAAAGCTAATAGTTCACTCTCCCTTTCAATACTAACAAAGTAAGAAAAAGGTGTTTTACTAATTGAATATGGTTTTTAAATAAAGGAATTTAACTACCTTTTTATACAGTTATTATGCTTGCTTTTGGAAAAGACATACCTATGATACCAATTCTGCTAGTAAAACAAACAAACAAAAAGCATGTATATTTTTACTTTGGAGGGGGCAAGAGTGAAATACAATAAAATGTTAATAATAGATCTTTTCAGTTGGTAGAAATCTAAGAGATTTTATTCTGGACATTTTGTATATGCCAAAATTTCAACAGTGAACATAAATTACTTTCATAATAAGAAAAAGTTATACTTACTTAACTTACTAAGTAACTTATAATTTAACTTAAGTTACTAAGTAACTTACTTAGTTACTTAATAACTTACTTAAGTGACTAAGTTACTAAGTAACATATAACTTAAGTTACCAAGTAACTTAACTAAGTTACTAAGTAACTTAAAACTTAACTTACTTAAGTTACTAAGTAAGTATAACTTAACTAAGTTATAACTAAGTTAGTTACTAACTATACTTACTTAAGTTACTAAGTAACTGTAACTAAGTTACTAAGTAACTTATAACTAAATTACTAAGTAACTAAGTTACTAAGTAGCTTATAACTAAGTTAACTAAGTAACTTATAACTAGTTACTTATAACTAAGTTACTAAGTAACTTGTAACTAAGTAAGTTAACTAAGTAACTTGTAACCAGGTAACTTGTTACTTATAACTAAGTTACCAAGTAACTTGTAACTAAGTAAGTTACTAAGTAATTTGTAACTAAGTAAGTTAGTAAGTAACTTGTTACTAGGTACAAGGTACCTAGGTACAAGTTAACAAGTTAACTAAGTAACTTGTAATTAAGTAAGTTAACTAAGTAACTTGTTAGCTAAGTAACTTGTAACTAAGTAAAGTTACTAAGTAACTTGCAACTAGGTACAAGGTAACTTGTAACTAGGTAACATAACTAAGTTACTAAGTAACTAGTAACTAAGTTAACTAAGTAACTTGTTAACTAAGTAACTAAGTTAAATTACTAAGTTACTAAGTTAGTTACTAATTATACTTAAGTTAATAAGTAACTTACTAAATTACCAAGTAAC